GAAACTGTTAATGATGTACTGTGGGGTTATAGCATATGTAGAAGTAAAGTTGTACTTTGTACAATAGCATAAAGGCTAAGAGGGGAGAAATGAGAATATACCATTTTAAGGTTCTTATGCTACACAAAAAGTGATAAAATATCACCTGAAGGCGGGCTGTGATAAGTTAAGGATGTGTACTATATATCCTAAAGCAACCACTAAACACAACGAGCAATAGTTAAAAAGCCAACAGAAGAGATAACATGAAATCATAAAAGGTACTCACTTGATCCAAAACAAGGCAGAAAAAGAGAAAAAGGGAATAAACAACAGATGAGAGAAATAGAGGACACATAGCACGATGGTAGATTTAAAACAAATCATACCAATTAATGTTAATGGTGTAAACAATGCAATAAAAATGCAAAGACTGTCAAATTGGATTTTTAAAAGACAATGTCTAAATATATGCTGCTTATAAGAAATCCACTTTAAATATGAAGACAAAATAGGTTAAAAGTAAAAGGACGAAGAGATAGTCCATGCTAAACCTAATTAAAGAAGGCTGGTGTGGTCATATTAATATCAAAGTAGTTTTCATAGCAAAAAATATTACCAAAGAGAAAGAGGGTCATTTTGTAATAAGGGGGTCAATTCATCAAGATGATATAACAGTCTGAAACATTTATGTACCTAATAACAGAATTTCGAAATACATGAAGCAAAATGTGATGGAACTGCAAGGAGAAGTAGACAAGTCTGTAATTATAGCAGAGATTTCAATACCCATCTTTCAATAATCAGTAAAACAAGTATACAAGAAATTGATAAGGATATAAAACACTTGAACAACACTATCAACCAACTTGATATAGAATATTTATAGAATATTCTCCCTAACAACCGCAGAACACACATTCCTTTCAAACATACATGGAATATTTACGAAGACATAAAACAAGTCTCAATAAATTTAAAAGGGTTCAATATGTTCCCCGTCTGCAATAATTAAATTAGCCTTAATAACAGAAAGATATCTGGAAAGTCCCCTAAATATTATGAAACTAAATAACAAATTCTAAATAACCCATAAATCAAAGAAACAACCATAAATTGAAAAGAAAAAAAAATCAATTATAATAATATCAAAAATACAAAATAGAGGTAAATCTGACAAAAGATATATATGACTCATGTGCTGAAAACTGCAAACCATTGCTGAGAGATATTAAAACAGACCTAAATAAAGGGACATATATATTGTGTTCATATATCAGATACTCTAAATATTGTTAGGACGTCATTTCTCCCTAAATTGACCTATAGATTCAATTCCATCCCAATCAAACCAGCAGGCTGTTTTACATAACAGAAATTGACAAGTTGATTCCAAAATTCATATGAAAATGCAGAGAACCTAGGATAACTAAAACAACTTTGAAAAAGAAGAAAAAGTTGTAAGACTTACACCACCTGACTTCAAGAATTATTGTAAACCTAAGTAATCAAAACAGTGTGACATTGGTGCCAATGGACAAATAGATCAATGGGACAGAAAAGGTCCAAAAACATTCCTACACATAGATGAGTTATTAATTTTCAACAAACGTGCAAAGACAATGTAGCGGAGAAAGGATAGTCTTTTCAACAAATGGTGCTGGAACCACTGGATATGCAAAAAAAGTGAACTGCAGTCTGTACCTCATATTATATTAAAAATTAAGTCAAAATATATTATTAATCTAAATGCAAAACTTAAATTCATAAGACTTCTAGAAATAAAACAGAAGACAATCTTTGTGACCGTGGGATAGGCAAAGTCTCCTTAGAGACAACAAAAGCAAAATCTATAAAAGAAATTTTTCTCATAAATTAGACTTGATCAAAACTGAGAACATCTCTGCAAAAGAGTAAACCCAGAGAAAATGAAAAGAAGACAATGATGAAGATGAGAGAAGAAACTAGTAAAATAGTTCTTATCTATTAAGGAGATATGGATATCAATTCAAACAGTAAGAAAAAAAATAGAAAGGAATACAGAAAAAGGGAAACCGTAAAGCACTCTAAGTAACTAAGATGGTAGAAACAAGCCAGTTACAATAAATGAAAAAGGACTAAACTCACCAATTTATACTAAAATATGTCAGATTAGAAAAACATCCAATCCAACTATGTCCTTTTTTTTTTTTTTTTTTTTTTTTTGAGAAAGCGGGGTCTCTGTTGCCCAGGCTGGAGTGCAGTGGCACCGTCACGGCTCACTGCAGCCTTGATCTCCCGAGGCTCAAGTGATCCTCCTATTTCAGCCCCACTCCTCCTTCCCCCCTAGTAGCTGGGACTACAGGCTCGTGGCAGCATGCCTGGCCAATTTTTGTATTTTTTATAGGGACAGAGTTTTGCCATATTGCCCAGCCTGGACTCAAACTCAAGTGTTCTACCTGCCTTGGTTTCCCAGAGTGCTGGGATTACAGGCATGAGCCACTGTGCTCAGACAACTAGCTGCTGTTTAAAAAAGACACATCTAAATTATAAGGACAGAGATAGGTTGAAAATAAGAACACAGAAAAAAGATATATAAGGCAGATGCTAATAAAAACAAGATTGGTTTGGCTATGTTGACAGACTTAATATAAAGTCTGTTAATACAGTTATAAAGTCTGTTGATAAAAAGATCTTCAAAGAAAAAATCATCAGGGATAAAGTCACTGCCTAATAATAAAAAGGCTCACCCCACCATGAAGATATTACACTTCTGAACATGCATGCACCTAATAAAATAGCCTCAAAATACATACAAAAAATTAATGGAACTACTTGGATTGTGAAGAGGTGGTGAGCAAGAAGGGAAAGGGAAATTGCACTCTTTTTTTTTTTCAAAATAACATTGTTTAGAAAACCTTTATAGTAGAAGATTTCAAGCATATAAAAAAGTAGAGCAACTAGTGATAAAGAACTCCCCTATAGCTACTCCCCAGCTTCCCCAGCTTAAGGCTGATCTCCTTTCCCACATCTCCCTTCTCCTGCATAATAAACAAAATAACTGTATTTAGCTATTTTGTCCTCAAAGTTAATAACTCTTTTAAAAAGAAACTACCTTGCCATTATCACACTCAAAACATTAACAGAAGGCACTCGATATCATGAAATAAATATTTCATTGGTTTACAACTTCTAATGTCTTTTAATGTTGAACGTTAGGTTGGTTGAATCAGGACCCGAATAAAGCCCACACATTCCTATTTGTTGCTATATCCTTTAGGTCTTCTTTAATCTGGAAATTCTCCCTCATCTTTCCCCTTCCCTTGCAGGCTTTTTTTTTTTTTTTGAAACCAGATTGTTTGTTCTGGAGAGTAGGCAGTTTGAATTTTGCTGACTGTATTCCTGTGTGACTCTAACCCATTCCTCTGTCTCCTGTACATTCTGTTAATTAGTGGCTAGCACTAGAAGTTTGATTATTTTATTTTATTTTATTTTATTTTATTTTTGACAAACTACATCACCGGTGATATGATGGACGGCCATCAAATCTGTCTGGTTGTATCTCTCTTTTTTTGATGTTAGCAGATATTAATGATCATTAGATCCAATTTACTTTCGTTAGGTGTTGCCAAATGTCAATAGCTTCTTTCTACCCGTCGCTTTTCACTTGTGTTTGGAGCCTGGAGCCATGGGGGAGGGGCCCTGCAGCAGGAGCTGTAGTCCAGGAGACATGAAGTCACTGCTAGAAAACAGGACCCAGAGCAGGAAGGGTGTGGGGAAGAAATAGGCAGACTTAGCCTCCAGTCCTCTCATCTCCTGTTGACAGAACCTAGCCAGAAGCTGAAGGACAAGGTGATTCAAGGACTAGAATGGGAAGAAGGATCAGCTGAGGGAGGAGAATTAATGGCGATGGGGGTCAAAGCAGATCAGCCTGGCAGGGAAGACAGGAATGGGAATGAGTCCTGGACCAAAGTAAGTAGGCAGCAAAGACCCATCTAAGAGCCAATTCCACGGTTTTCTTGGATCCAGTCAAGCATGCTTTTCTTGAGCACCTATTATACATTCAGCACTGCAGTACGACTTTGGAGAATACACAAGCAATATAAAAAATAGCGCTTTCGCCATTCCACAAATAGGACAAGTTGTTCCCTTGCCTCAGGGTGTTTGCACATGGCATTTCTTCTACCTAGAATGCTCTTGTCCATTCTCCCACCTTTGCTCAACTCTCTTCCCTAAAAGAGGAGGTTGGGGGGTGCCATCTTCATTACCTGGAGGGCTGGACCTCAGAGTGTGGGCTGCCAACTCCAGCATGCCAACACATCTGCACAGCAGCTCAACAAGCTGCTGGTGCCCAAGGGCCAAGTGAGCCAGCTCTGAAGCTGGGGCCCCAGAAGACTGCAGAAAAAAACGCTCAGACCCTGTAGTGGGCAGGTGGAAGATGGCAGCATCTGTGTCGCCTCCCTGACCAGTTCCAAAACGAGGGAGGTTTGTGCACACCCCTGTGTGCATCGGTAGCCCAGGTGCTCCATCTGCTAATGAAAGAAGACGATCAAGTTTGCGCTCCCTCTGCCCACACTCAAAGGGCAGTAACTCACCAGCATCCCTCTTCCTTCTCTTAGTGTCTGCTTCTCCATGATTAAAATAGCGATGAGAACACTGAGACCCAGGGAGATTTGGTTGCTCACCCCAGGGACCCAGAAGGATGAGCCCAGGCAGCTGGCTGCAAAGTCTCTGCTGTTCACCGCAATTCTGAGCTTGTTCCCACCCTTGCTCACTCTTGCAATTTTGTTTTCATCTTGTTTTTCTCCTCCAAGGGATATCTTCCTTTGGCGTATCGCTGCTGCCATATTAGATCCTGGATTGTTAAATGGGAGTGCAGAAGAGGGAGGGGAACTAACATTCTTGAGCCCTGACCTTGGGTTTGGTACCAGGCTGGGTGTTGTCGGTACATTTCCATAGTCAAGCCTCCTAACAGCCCAATGATGGGGACTTTATTTTCCATTTTGTGAAGGGACAACATAGAGTGTTAATTAGAGCAGCGCCTCTGGAGCCTGGCTACC